GGTGTTGATATACAACTTGCAAATATTCTCATAAAAGGCTTAGGTAAGGATCAATTCATGTTTTTGAGATTTGAGATGGGGATTTGCAGCTCAAATACCTAAAAGTTATGTTGAATATTTATGGTCTTTGATCTGCAGTCAAGCTATCAAAGTGAGGCTTTAATGGAGGTTCGCGAGAAGCAATAAAATTTGAAAGGAATAAGAAGGTCCTAATAAGCTGTCGTCTAATGTTTTTGAGTAGTGTTGTTTCAAGTCTTGTTATGTTTTCTATTTAAGTTGTTACTTTTACCATTTACTATTTATTGTTGAGTCAGGTAAGGTGTTCTTTAGTCTTGACTAAAACTAAATCGTTTAGGAAAGTTGTTAATCTTTGTGCTAGGGAATCTCTTATAGATCCCAACAATTGTTGGTTTTTGGAATGCCAAATGTTTCCATTTGGTTTGTTACTGTTTTTATATTTCTCACCCATCCAATTGTTTGTATATATTTTATTTTCAGTAGTTTAATGAAATAGTTAAGACACCATTTGTTTTTGTGCGGAAAATTTTTTTCTCTTATATCTCAACGCTTTCTTCTTCACTACTCTCCACTGCTCATCTTCAATAGAGGAAAACCTTCATCCTATTTTTTCTAGATTTTGAGCAAAACTTTTACATATATTAATAAAATCGACTCTTGATTGAGTTAAAAAAATTGTGATGGAGAAAGGAATTTTGAAAAATCTAGACAACAGGGAACTCTAAAAATTTTAAAAAAAAGTTAAACCATAGTTAAAACAACCTAAATTTCTCTTTTGATCATTTAATTAGAAATATGAAATTACACATCATGCATGCATGGACTAAGGAAGCATGGATTGACCTACATGATTCAGTACTGTAATTGAATAAAAGAGTTTTAAGCCCTTTTGTTTTCTTTTTCACTTTATGTGTAGTTTTAATGGAACACCTACTATATTAAACTGTCAAAAAACTTGGGAAGTCTTTGTATTGGGGTATTTTGCTCAATTTAGTTCCTATACTTAAAATCGTGATAATTTAGTCTCTCTTTTTAACGTCATCCAATTGTGCCTAACATGGCACATTTTGATAATATGGCAACAACATGATGACAAGGTATGCCACGTGACATCGATATAATGATGTGGTAGTGCCACATGGCACTAATATAATGATATAGCAATACTGATGTGGCACTGACTTGTTGACGTGTCAGTGCCATATAGTAGATTAAAAAATTTAAAAAAAAATTATCACATCATAGGGACTAAATTGAACAAAAATATTCAGTACAGAGATTAAATTGAATAAAATTGAGATGTTGAGGGATAAAATTGAAATAATATTTGAAAAATACAAATACTTAATTAGATGATAGATATACTTATTAATAACCAAATATTTAATTATAAAAGATTTATGGTGTTAAAAAATATATAAATATTTTCTTACTTGATTATTTGATTCTAAAATATATACATTAATTTATCTTCTTTGCAAAAATTAAGGTTTCTTTTTTTACTTTTCGACCTTCAGATAACTGAATTGAAAAAATTAAGCTTAAATTCTCCTTTAACAAAAAAAAAATAAAAAAAAAAATTCATATCTAAAGCCAAATTTAGATAAATAACTTGCATTATGGTAGAATAAAATAATACAAAAAGACTAAATAAATTCTCTTTTCTTCTATTTCTAATAGTATAAAAATATGAAATTTATTTGATTTAGCTTTTAACTTGAATTGAGCTCAAATTAGCGAAATAGATTCGTTTAGTTTTGTTTTTAAAAAAATGAAAAAATGAGATATGAAGTTAGCGATTATTATAAAAATAATTTTTGGGCATAACAAAACCTTTTGTTACACCCATAGATTCAGAGCTACTCTACCCCTTCAATTATTTATTTACTTTTTATGTTTTTATTTTGTTTAATATTTCAAGTTATTTTTTTTAGGTTGAAATTTCTTAGATTAAAGATTGCATTTATAGTTGATAAAGTTAAATATAATTATAAATATTTGTACCATTTTTTTATATTTACAAATTATTTATAGATCCAAATTAATAATTTAAATTTAAATTTACCAGAATTTGATTGTGGTATTTAAACTTAAATAAAATCGTTTTATAAGAAACTTTGAATAAATCTAAATAAAAAGTAAATTGAGTAAGGGTTGAATAATTTCAAAATAATGGGTATTTGTAAATCGTGAAAGTTGTAACAAAATCAACTTATTTTTCTAATTTGAGTTTAGCTCAAGTTAAAAACTAAGTCAAATAAATTTTAAATTTTTATACTATTATAAATAGAAAAAAAAATTTATTTAGTCTTTTTATATTATTTTATTCTAACATAATGCAAGTTATTCATCTAAATTTGACTTTAGATATGTAATTTTTTCAAAATTTTTTTTATAAAAGGAGAATTCAAATTTAATTTTTGCAAAGAAGATAAATTAACATACATATTTTAGAATCAAATAATCAAGTAAGAAAATATTTATATATTTTTAACATCATGCACCTTTTACCTTAAATATTTAACTTATTAATAAGTATATCTATCATCTATTTAAATATTTTTATTTTTTAAATTTTTTCAATTTAAGTTTTTAACTTCTCAATTTTGTTCAACTTAATTCCTGTATTATATATTTTTGTTTAATTTAGTCTCTATGACATAATACAAATTTTTTTAAAAATTTTTTGATTTGTTATGTAGTATTGACACGTCAGCATGTCAATGTCATATTAACATTACCACGTCATTATATTAGCGCCACGTGATACTGTGACATCATCACATTGGTACCATGTGACATGCTATGTCATCATATTTGTGACACATCATCAAAATATATCATATCAGTGTTGATGTCATCCCTTTTAAGGATAAAATTAGTTATTATTAAAGAGATGAGCTAAATTGAGATAATTTTTTAAAATTGAGAAATTAAATTATTACGATTATGATTAAATGAACTAAATTGAACAAGATGTCCTAATATTAGAACTTTTCAGATATTTTAATCATATTAAATTATTGTTGACTAAAATGTTGAGATGTACTTCATGTTTTGTTAGCTTGATGAAAAGGGTATTGTTCGAAGGACCCGGAATCGAGAATTTAATTATTTCCCAGGGTCAAATGAGATGTGGTGCTCCCATGGTGTGAACATCGTGCATGTGACCATATGAGTTGATCATTTTAGGTTGAAAACATGGCATCGTTTGGGAGGCTGTCAGGCGCCATGGTTGACCAGAAAAAAGTAATCGAGTTTTTCAAAGCTTGAAGAAAATCTCCAAAACACAACAAACTTGTACTTATCACACAATATGATGAAATCGTGATGTAAACATATTTCCGGCTAGCAAAAAATATCATTAAACCATATCAGAATCAGACCCTTTGGTATAACATTAGTAATTTCCCTTGCCTACCGAAAGAACAAAGAAGCAGAATTGAAGAAGAAGTAGAAGAAATCTTAGGTATTAATAGAAGAAACCAGGAAAAGAAACATTAATTTCAAAAAAACAAATCCCATTTTTAAGTAAAGAGAAATTTCAATCATGCAAACCAAGACTTGCTGGTATTCTCTAATAGCTTATATTGGAATATTGGATGGTTCAAGGCATATGTATCTTTTGGATTGACGTTTACATAAACACGTATGCATAATTGTTGAAAAACGTTGAGAAGAATGAGTCAACTTAAAGAGTCAAGGTCTAGAACTTCTTGTCTACCACAACTAGATCATGTTAAAAAATCTTATTAAGGAGAGCAATGCGGGAATATCAATTCATAGCTTCATCTCCGAGTGCTGCATGCTCAAAGAACAACAAGAAAGTATGTCATGGGGAAAACTAACTGTCGGTCTAGTTTTATTAGCTGCAATTCTACTATCTTATTTTTGCTTACAATTCGGCACTGCTTTAGATAAAGGCACTCAGTTGAGGGTTGATAACCAGTGAGCTATAGCAATAGCTAAAAATCCTGTGCAGCATGATCATAACAAGTATATTCGTCTCAAATGCTTTGAGGGAAGCGGTAAAGGATGGTGAAATTGAGCTTGAATATTGTTATACAGATCTTCAACTTGCTGATATTTTCATTAAAAGATCAAGCAAAGACAGGTTTGAGTTTTTGAGAAACAAATTGAGAGCTTACCCCGACAGAGACCAAGGAGGTGTGTTGAAGAATTACCCTTAGCACGGGCAGAGCCTCCTTTAGCACCGTCTCTTAAAATTTTTAAAATT